ATTTACAAACATAATAACAATAATTTAATAAATAAGATTATGATATATAACTTTTCTTCATTTTACAAATAAATATACAGAGCACTTTTCATTTACTGGTATCATGCTGAATTATTGTAATGACTTTGGTCTGCATTGAATCTTGTACAGCCCCAATCAAACTTTAAGAGATTTTATTATCAAAATATAAAAATTGAGCATTGAGCTAGCAATTTAGTAATAATCCTTGTCACACTGCCTGTTACAAACTTACCAGACAAGTCAGGTACCAACATATAAGTATGTTCATGATTTTCACAAGTCAGGTACCATTTCGTCAGACTATTAATGTTTATCACAAGCTGGGTACCAACTTACCAGTCTGTTTGATGTTCATCACAAGCTGGGTACTAATTTATTGGTCTTTTCAAATTCAAAACAAGCAGGCTACCAAGTAGCCTGGGATTCAGGCGTTGATATTTTTTTCTTATTCATAACATACGCGCTATTTGATACACGATCGTGTTTTGTTGATAAACCTTCAGGGTTCCCCATGTAATTATCGACTAATGATAATTCTATTAATAGACAGATTAGCATGTGATCTACAAATCACATGACTTAATGGAAATTAAGGCGAAGATGCTGAATTAAGAACATTTGACGCCATTTACTATTATAAATTGTGTCTCCACATTTCTCTGATGCTCTCAGACTTCATTCACACTGAATTGTATTTAACTAATCAAACATGTCGATCAAATTTACTCATCATGCAATAAACTTTGTCAACCAGTGTCAAAACTCTCAATTTTTAATCGGAAATGGTGTTTTGAAAGAGAGGCTCTGTGACTGTTCGTTGACTTTTTGGTCACTTTGTGGAAATTCCTTTTCTATTTTTAAAGACTAGTTTGTCGTTGCATAAGTTATCGTTCTTTAAATTACACCCGTAATTTTCGGGTGAATACTAGGTGGCGCTTCGATCGAAAATTGCATTTCCCCAGGCTGTTGATTTGCCGGACATAAGCACAGCCAAATTAACGATTTGTTTGTTTATGTTTATAACAAGCCAGATACTATAAATATTTATAAAAAACCATATAAAATCTAACCTGTCATTCTTGTGACACCACCTAAAGCTGCTGCTGCACCAACCATGGCATATAGTCCTGGAGTTATTGCACAATCCGACTGATACATATTTTTGAACAATGGACTATCTCTGCTAGCTCTGTAATTAAACAGATTTGTAAATAACAAAAGCTGTCATAGGTTAACAAAGGTTAACATACTAAACTTACTATCAGAGCTTGAAAGTCAATAAAAGTCAATCAAATTAAACCAGAAGTTAACAAGAGCAATCAGTGATCACATGTGTCGCCTCGTGATGGCCAATTTCATGTTGGGACGAGTTTTGTGACAGACGGACAGACAGACGGACAGCGCACAACTAGACTTGGTACTGATCATTCCTGTAAAGTTTGGATAAAATTAAACCAGTGGTTTATGAGGAGTAGTCTGAACAAGCTTTTGTGTATTTGGCAACACACAGAAAAAAACACCTTTTTATCAAAGGGCCATAACTCGGCCAAAAATCATTCAACCGGAAAACCCGTGCAACATGCGCAAGGATTTGAGCTACAAATTAATCCTGTAAAGTTTCATTGAAATTGCATCAGTGGTATAAGAGAAGTAATCCGGACAAACTTTAAAAATAAAAATTATTAAATGGCCATAACTCTGACAAAAATTCTTTAAACCAAAAAATGCTGACAATATGCACAACAAGACTTGGTATTGATCATTCCTGTAAAGTTTTGATGAAATTGCACCAGTATTTTATGAGGAGTAGTCCGGACAGGCTTTTGTGTATCTGGCAACATACAGAAAAAAACACCTTTTTATTAAAGGGCCATAACTTGGCCAAAAATCATTTAAGCGGAAAACCCGTGCAATATGCGCAAGGACTTGAGCTACAGATCAATCCTGTAAAATTTTATTGAAATTGCATGAGTGGTATAAGAGAAGTAGTCCGGACAAACTTTAAAAATAAAAATTATTAAAGGGCCATAACTCTGACAAAAATCTTTGAACTCAAAAATGCTAACTATATGCACAACTAGACATGGTACTGATCATTCCTGTAAAGTTTGGATGAAATTGCACCAGTAGTTTATGAGGAGTAGTCCGGACAAATTTTGTGACGGACAGACAGACAGACGGCAGACAGACGGACAGACAGACGACGGAGAAGTGTTCCCTATATGTCGCCACTACTCCGTAGAGGTGACACAAAAATGGGGTATGTTTCAGTTAATTTCTATTCTAGAGTCATATGCCTTGGCCAGTGACCAATAATATTGATCCCAAAGACATTTCAAGTTGCAAGGATATATTTTAAGTGTTTAATAAGATATGAAGTTGGAAGCAAATGTTGCATAAATCAACGTCATTTCAAGAGTAAAATGAACGGTCCATTTCATCTTGGACTAGTCAAATTGACAATACAGCAGTTAAATAACAAGTTTAATATTTATATCTTATTTATATCTCTTTTAACAAAATCTTTTAATTATGGATATATAACAGGCCTTTTGATTGGTCCTTGTTTGGTTAAAGGTTAATTTCATGCTTGACAGGTTCCATAGTATTTGTTTGACTACGCCTTTTCTCATAAATAGTCGTTTTTGGCGCTATTTTGGTTACAGTTTTGTCAGACACGTTTAAAGATTGACACTTTTAGAAAAATTTGCCACTCCCTCCCACCCCTTTTTCTTATTTGTGTGTATTGTATGCTTGTATTTTGTTTGTTGTTTCTTTTGCCATTTTCTGTTTGTTAATGAATGTTTTCCGCTGTATGTACATGTATATTTGTTGACTTTTGTTTGAGCTTTTAATGTATACTGTTACGTTTATATGCAGGGGTTAATCATTTATGTGTATAATGCTTGTCTTCATTTATAATTGTATAGTCTGGTATTATTTAGGTTGTAGTGTCTTTTAATATGTCTTTCTCTGGCGGACCTCTAGTATTTCATATTAGTTATTTAGCTGTTAATGGTCACTGTTACATAATTCGATGAAGTAATTCGATTCATCATGTGACTGTCTGTTATAATAGAATTGTCGTAACTAGTATGAATTATTTAGAATAATCGTATTGTGTATTATTCATTTTTATGCCTTTGTGCTCTATTAAAACTGGTTATTTCTAACATCGTGTTTCTGGTTATGGCAAAATTCAAATGAATATACAATGTGAAATTTCATGTATATACTAAATACTCACATGACAAGTTGTTCCATACCAATACCAATCAATCTTCCCATGATAGCACCAACTGCCATACTAGGTATGAACAAACCCGATGGTACCTTAAATATACAACAACAGTATAGTCATTACAGCAATTGTGTCAATGAAGTGGGCTAACATTTATCACATGAAATATATAACCATGAGGAATAACTTTTTCTTGCATAGCAGACTGGCGTTTCCATGAGTTTTACTCATGCCGGAAATTTTATCTGGCATGGGAGTGCCAGATGAGTCGCGTGCCAAACAACAACGTCATTTAAATGAACCGCGTTAAAATGACATCGTTTTAGAAGGGAAATATGTGCTTAGGATGACATCATTTTGCCGTTGTTGTTCATACGCTATTGTAAGAAGATAGTTATGGAGGAAATGACTTTAATTTCCATGATCATATATCATATTGAAATAAACAATTATAAATATGAAATTGTATGGCAGAATATGCAAGAAAAAATATCTGATATATGTTTGCGGTTTGGATCAGAATATCCGTCCCTCGGGAACCCGCCCATGGGCGGTAACTCGGCAAGCCTCATTACTGCCTATTGTGCAGGTCCCCTCGGGACGGATATTCCGGTCCGAACTTCAACATATGACAGATATTATTAACAAATCATGTTATACAAAAGCCGGTTGAAATTGATAATGCTCCCTGATTAGTTATTTGACACAGAAAGTATACCTCTTGTAGTCCTGGACAAAGTTGAAAGTGCAATAATTCCAAAATTAGACAAGGCAGAGTTACTGTTCTTTGCACTCAATGAGATGTATCTACCGACTTCGTTTCTTGTTTTTACCTCCAGTCATTCTACAGTAATATCCCAGACAAAGTCCAAAGTGTAAAATTGAAAAAGGGCGCTAACTCCAAAATAAGCAAGGCAGAGTTACTGTTGTTTGCATTCTTTTGATAATATAGGTGACAAACTGAATCTTCTTTTATATGCTGCATAGTTTATTTGGGGTCAAAAAGGCATGAAAAAATTGAAATAGACAACTATGTAACAGTTTATAGTTAAGTCTACTTAGTTTATATGTTGATATATTTGATATTTATTGAATATGTAGCTCATATAAGATAAAATTGTCATTCCTATGAAGCAAGTGGATTTAGCCCTTATATCCATTTTTCATCAGAGGTGTCATAATATTTTAATCCTTCAGGATCTGAATACTTTGAGTGTTATGTTTTTAAAGAACAATACCGCTCATGGTGGTGAACATTTCTTTAAAGTATCATAAAAATTCTTCCATGCATGTAGGAGATATGCATAAGACAACATCTTAATATTTCATCACCTTAACATATTTTTCTGTTTTAAGTGCCCCATTTGATTTGTGTGATTATTTGTTTTAGCTTTTGCACCTCAGTGAATTTCTTTAAAGTATAGTATAACAGTATATGTATAGGTATGGTTTTGTGATTAACAGTCAAAAATATAACCAATACCTGCACATAATGACGGCCCTGTAAGTCAATTATAATATGCTTTAAGTTTAAAATAAATCAAACTTATCTATCGATCTTTTTAAATATTCCCTCAATCTTAAACATAACTTTGTACCAGCGTATTTATCAATCTTCAGATTTCTTAAGTTAAACAATTATAGTATTATCATTGGGGGTATATTGTTTCATGTTATCTTTTAAACAATCAGACCCGCCATTAAACTATCAAACTTATATACACTTGTTAACAGGTAGAAGAGATAAAATATTCAAGACTGGAGGAAGACATTTGTGTTTTCAAATCTTTATTCTTAATATAAAACAAGTAATGAATTAAAAACTGTTTGAATATAAACTCTCGTTTTTAGTTAAAAGGTATGTTACTTTGATTTCTTATGTGTTTGTTATGTAAACTAGATGTGTTAAAATAACTAAATTTGTCACAGTTTATTTCCTTATTGGACTAATGTCATTCAAATTATAATTTTGTAGTTTATGAAAAACTGTCAACTTAAATCAACTGCATGAAAAATTTATCTCTTTTATATGAATTAAAACTACATATTCTTAAAAAATAGATATTTTTCACTAGAGGTACATGTAAATGAAAATAGGAATATTAGTTGAAAAAAAGTAAATTTAAAATGTTTTCAGACAGACAGTATACCTTTTATAATTGAACAGAAGCATCAATAACAATTTAATAACAATCACTTCAAAAAGATCAAAATCTACCAAAGTGGCAAAAAAATAAACAGTCATCATTCACATGTAATCTCAATCAAAATAAATCATCTGATCTGTATATACACTTACAATGACTTTAATAGTTTATAGCTTTACTTTGTGTTTATCTCAAAATACTTTAACAATATAAAACGCTATACTGTTTGTCTATGATAATATGAGAGTGACGTTTCATTTTATGTGTACATAAAAGTTTTCAACAATTGATTGGAAAGGTAAAACAGGATATTAAAGTATCGAATATAAGATTAAGATTGTACAAGAAACGTATATTTCTGGATGGTGAACTTGATTTGCATGTTGTTCACATTTTGTTACAAGTTCAAGCTTGACAAAATGTCTTCTTTTTTATGTTTTTCATTTGTTTTACATCAGACAAAAATGAATTGTCATAAAAAAGTAGGTTTTTACAGTCAAACTTGAAATAAGCGAACATGCAAGGGAAACACCAAAAATGGTCGTCTATGTCTCTTAAGACAAAGCATAAGAAAAAGTCAAAATTTAATTACGACATCTTCCCTGTGCTGTGGGGAAGTTTTTGAACATCATTAATATACATGTTTAATAATTATAATTCTCTGATAATCTAAATAGATGCTATAAATAAACAAGAGCACCGCATAAGCGTGGCAATACACGTCCAAATGCAAATCTGTTTGAAATACAAGAGCGATCAGTAATCACATGTGTCGCCTCATGATGGCCAATTTCATGTTGGGACAAATTTTGTGACAGACAGACGGACAGACGGACAGTGCACAACTAGACTTGGTACTGATAATTCCTGTAAAGTTTGGATAAAATTGCACCAGTAGTTTATGAGGAGTAGTCCGGACAAGCTTTTGTGTATCTGGCAAGGGTCATAACTCAGCCAAAAATCATTCAACCGGAAAACCCGTGCAACATGCGCAAGGACTTGAGATACAGATCAATCCTGTAAAGTTTCATTGAAATTGCATTAGTGGTATAAGAGAAGTAGTCCGGACAAACTTTAAAAATAAAAATTATTAAAGGGCCATAACTCTGACAAAAATCATTGAACCGGAAAATGCTGACAATATGCACAACTAGACTGATCATTCCTGTAAAGTTTGGATGAAATTGCACAAGTAGTTTATGAGGAGTAGTCCGGACAAGTTTTGTGACGGGCGGACGGACAGACAGACAGACAGACGGACGGACAGATAGACGACGGAGAAGTGATCCCTATATGTCGCCACTACTCCGTAGAGGCGACACAAAAGTTAATAAAAAAGATTTTTCAAACATGTATACTATTTAAATGGTACATGTAAAGTATGCTTTACCTACCCACCCCCCATCAACGAACCAGGTACAGCCTTTTTTTCATATCAGTGAAATGATTTTTGGAACAATTTCTGGGTTCTTCTATCAAATGATACATGCCGAATAACTTAGATCTGGGATTTGTAACTTAACATAAGTTTAAGGGGAGATAAATCTGAAAATATTGGTGCTACAGTTATGAACCTTGTCACATAAGATGGGGATAAGATGGGGATGATGATAAGGTACATATATTTGAAGTATGAGGTTGATCCCTTAAGAAATAAAGAAGTAACAGTAAAAATAGTATTTTTTGAAAAATATTTTACTGCACCAAAACTTTAATATGAAATCTGGACGCGGACACCGACGCCGGGGCGAGTAGGACAGCTCTCCATATACTTCGTATAGTCCAGCTAAAAATGACGTTTTATATGCCTCAGTTATAATTTTGATCTAAGGAAGTCCGAATCTGTGTTCTGCACACCGTCTTAACATGCTTAATATAAGTAATATTGTTGTCAAAAAGTTTTAAGTTCTGCACACAGTCTTAATATAAGTAAATTTGTTGCCAAAAAGTTTTAGGTTCTGCACACCGTCTTAATATAAGTGATATTCCTACCAAAGTTTAAAGTTCTGCGCACCGTCTTAATATAAGTAATATTGTTGTCAAAAAGTTTTAAGTTCTGCACACCGTCTTAATATAAGTAAAATTGTTGCCAAAAAGTTTTAGGTTCTGCACACCGTCTTAACCCTTTCCCCCATGAGCATATTGTGAAAAATGGCCGTTATCACTGAAAAGCCTCCTGTTACAAGTTTAAACTGCTATGAAACTATGAAAAATGCTTCAATACTAATCAAACTTGGCACAAATGTTGACTGGACCATTGCCTTTGTAACGACATCCTCAGTCTTAGATTTCCTGTTACCATGGCAACGAGGGGACATCTCAAAATTGCCAAAAATCACTATTTTGCCTCGATCTTTTCCATCAAAATTTATTTCAAAGTGATGCAACTTCTCCATGGATTGAGATAGAGTCAAAGGCTTTTCAGCGTTGGTTAACGTTACATTATGATCGACCTGGGGTCATTTTTAGCCTCTCACAAGTCCAAAATTTTCTTGGCGATGAGGGGGACTCCGCCCCCCTTCAAACCCCCCTAACAGAAGGGGGCACATCCGCCTTCTGGCAACCCCCTGATGTATCTTTTGGATGGGGGGCGGCGCCGAAAAAATGCTCATTTGTTTTAGAAACATTTCTCAAACGAAAACATGTGTTTGGGGCCCAAATAGGACATTTTTTCACTATTTTAGGCCTAAAAAAGGGGGGGGGGTCGAAAGTGCGTTGTTTCGCGTACAGTGGAGCCTTGCTAATCCGAACCCTTCTAATGCGGAATCCTTTCTTATCCGAAGAAGTGTCCGGTCCCGATTTTATTCGTTCTATTTTCAATAGTAAAAAACCTTTCGGATCCGTAACCTGTCTTCTCCGAATTCCGGATGATTTTTTCAATTTTTGTTCTTATTTTACTCTAAAATTTACCTCTCGGATCCGAACAGATTTTGCCAAATGTCACACCTTCATTCAAAATAACAAATAATCGCACATCTTGCAGGTGTAAACATACACCAAACTGATGTGTTATTTCACTTGATTAATGGGTGAAACGTATGATCTGCGAAGGTGTGAAAATTACACTTAGCTTGCCTTCATATCTTCTATCATTGCTTAATTGATTGTTTTTCGTCACCTTCAATAAATTATTTTGATATAATGCAATTAAAATATATTTTAAAATTTTGTAATGGATTCAATGATACGTGGTTAAGCAATGAAAATTTATAGAAACTGTCATTGAATTCGGATAGTTGCTGAATCGGATAAGGGTAAACAACAATTGACAAATGCTGGTACGAATATTTAATTATGTCTCCGCCTCCTGTTTTACATCGTAGGTGAACTTACCCTTGAGGACATAATATTTTTTTGCTTATTTATTTATTTTCATTTCTTTATATTTGTATTCACGTGTATTAGAATGAACGATAAGAGACTGCAAAAATAAAATATCTAAATTGCAATTTCAAATGCATTCCCGTTTTCTTTCCCTAAACTATTTTGCAAATACATGTAACATGAAAAAACATGTAAAAGAACCTTCTAATTTGGAAACCTTTCTAATCCGGAAACCTTTCTAATCCGAACTTTTCTTCTGGTCCGGACAAGTTCGGATTAGACAGGTTCCACTGTATATATGGGGTAAAGGGTTAATATAAGTGATATTCCTGCCAAAGTTTAAAGTTCTGCACACCGTCATAATATATAAGTGAAATTGTTGCCAAAAAGTTTTAAGTTCTGCACACCGTCTTAATACAAGTAAAATTCTTGCCAAACAGTTTTAAGTTCAGCACACCGTCTTAATATAAGTGATATTCCTGCCAAAGTTTAAAGTTCTGCGCACCGTCTTAATATAAGTAAAATTGTCGCCAAAACGTTTAAAGTTCTGCACACCGTCTTAATATAAGTAAAAATTTTGCCAAAAAGTTTAAAGTTCTGCACACCGTCTTAATATAAGTAAAATTGTTGCCAAACAGTTTTAAGTTCAGCACACCGTCTTAATATAAGTGATACTTGCAAAAAAGTTTTAATTTCTTTCTATCGGTTCCAAAGATACAGAGTGGACAAAAAATTTTGATATTGAAAAAATAACTAAGTGTGACCTTGACCTGACAAAGGTCAAACCTGCACTCTTTACATTGTCTCATCATGGTTAATATTTTTGCCAAGAAGTTTCAATTTCTTTTCACCGGTTCAAAAGATACAGACCGGACACGGAAACGCCTGTATATAAGTATATGTAAATAAAAAATCAAAACTTGTGTTTTGCACACCATCTCAATATAATTAATATTTCTGCCAAAATGTTTTAATTTCTTTCCATCGGTTCAAAAGATACAGGGCGGACACAAAATTTTGATATAGAAACAAAATGACTAAGTGTGACCTTGACCTGACAAAAGTCAAACCTACGCTTTGCATATCGTCTTAATATGGTTAATATTTTTGCCAAAAAGTTTCAATTTCCTTCCACCGGTTAAAAAAATACAGACCGGACAAGAAAACCTGCTAACAGACGGATTGACTGACAGACATGCCAACACTTTGGGTATTGGCTTTTTCTTTGATATTTATGTGGCATTTTACCCCATAAACCAGATGCTTTCTGTTTTGCATTTTTCATTTGAAATAAACTTTTTTAATTGCTGATCAAACACAATGTCAATTTTTACTGCTGATCAAGCTTTATGTCAATTTTAACTGCTGATCAAGCTCAATATCAATTTCAACTGCTGATCAAGCTCAAGGTCAATTCAATGCAGTCCAAATATCAACAGAGTAGCTTATTCACTATCACTGTAGGTGGAACTTTGATTTTCTTCATCAATTGTTTTGAAAAATCAAATGTATATTTCATTTGCATATGCACTGGCTTTTCACACATGTATTGGGTTTTGATTGTTGACACTTGTGATCGCATGAGGCGCTGATCTATAAAACACAAACATTTGACATGTAAAAGTAATCTCTCAATGAAAAGATTGACTGCAATAAACTGAGCTTGTGAGACTGTATCTGCAAAAAGAACAAATACTTTTCCTGAAATTCCTGTTTGCCTAACACTTTAACTTTATTTGACATCATGCAACACTGGTCGTCTTACTGTACGAAAATATTAAAAACTCTAAAAATTATTAAACATGGTAATTCATTAGTTTAGTTTTTATTTATGTTTCAGTGAAATCATGGCTGTCCCAGGTAAGAAAGCCACCAAACAATTTTCAACTTCAACAATATATATGGGTTCTGATGAAGATCTCAAAGTTTACTGTCAGCCATGTGATCGTGATGGACCTAGACTTCCTGCCCATGGCTATTGCACAAACTGTGCAGAGCATTTGTGTGAAACATGCTTTACCCACCACAGGAGACACACATTGTCAAGACACCATATCTTACTAGACAAAACCAACATGCCTCAGACGCTGTCACATGCAACACCAAGACAACCAGATATCTTCACAAAACCATGTCTAAACACAATATTGAGATGATCAAGTTTTACTGCCATGATCATAAGGCTCTACTTTGTAGTGTTTGTGTTACACTGGAGCATACAGTAACATCTTGCAAAGTCAACTATATACCTGACATTTCAGGCCAAATCATCAATAGCAAAGAATGTCAAGATGTATTGAAGGATTTGAACGACATGACTGAGAGATCAAGCAAAATACTTCAAGACATGAAGAAAATGAATAAGTTATCGAACAAGTCTTTGACAGAAGCATTGACAGGCATATTGAAATTCCGAAAAGAAATTAACCAAAGACTAAATGAAATGGAAAGACAAGTCAAAAAGGCTGCAAAAGTCATCCGTGAGAACAATAGCAAGAATCTGAAGACTGTAGAAACAACATGTGGAGATGTATTTAAATCATTAAAGTCATCCTCTGATATCATTAAACATCTCAACACTTCCAAACATGCTAATGATTTGTTCATGGAACTAAAACATGCAGAACAGATGATAAAAGAATATGAACAGAGTGTTTCTAAGCTCTCAGAATTTGAAGTCAAAGAATATAATTTTGAACCAAATGTGGTAATATCAAATCTTCTTGCAAAAGAGAAGTCACTGGGGAACACTGAAAGATAGGATATTATCTCCTGTTTTGAGGTCCAGACAATGTTCACAAATGGATAAAATCGGTATCAGAACATCACAAGACAGACTTGATTGCTGGATAACAGGAATGACTCTC